TCCATTAAATCTATTAATGCAGTTTTTTTTTACAGAATTATTAAAGATCTCTGTAAGTATATCAATCATCATCTAACTGGAACCTCCAAGATGAACGGTTCAGTGTAAATGTATGAAACTATATAATTCTTTAAAAATTTCATTTACTCGACGTTATAGAACTTCCATCATCTATTGGTTGAACCTATTAAGATTCATTTAGATAAATGGTCATATATCAATCAAATTCTTTAGTAAATTTCTCTTCATATTTATTCATCCATTGTAGTACTTTTACATAACTTAAATATTATTTACCATACGTAAAGATGATATAAATCGATTACAAAAAAGAAAAAAAAAACAAAACAATTCCGATACATTCTAAACGTAGTTGGTTTTCTGTAATCAATAACTATCATATAGTATATATATGAATGTGAAAAATGTTCCAGTTCTAAGCACATTCCTCATCTTTATTGATTTATACACTATAATGGAATAAAATTAAGTCACCAATCAATTAAACTATATATAGATTTATTCTACTTTATAATGTAAGTAGGAAAATCATTAGTCACTAAGCAATTAAATATGATAATTACTATTGTGCTTGTTTTTTTTGTTTTTTTTTATGTATCACCATATATCAAATTAACCATAAAAGAAACAAATAACATATCATCATATTCATCAAATGAAGTAATTTTTCTTTTTTTTAAAAATTTCACCGAGGTTTCTAACAAAGAACAAAGAGTATACTTGTTACCATGTGGATTCAAGTACTTTTTTAATGAATTATTTTTTTCTTCTAAATCATTAACTTATGTCATTTTAAAAAATTGATTTTAATTCTTTTTTAAAAAAAAAACTCATATGATCAAATGTTTTATTGAGTTATGGAATAATGAATTAAATTACACTAGATCATACAATTGTATCAAAGGCATTTATTAAGCACATATTGGTAATACAAAAGTACCTAAATGTAATTACTTTTGAACACTTCCATTGAATGTAAATCTTATGATTTATATTAAATATATAAGAAAGTTGTTTGACAATTTAAAAATAGTTGTATTATTTTGTCACGTATTAGAGAAACTATTTATTATTCTACTGTTTGCTACTGATGTTGACAGATATAAGCAGTATGTATCATTAATCGAAAGTGAAATGACTGGAGATAAAAGGTTAAAAAGATTGAAGAAAAGAGATCGAGGACAATGAATGATTGCTGTGGAGATGAAAGAAGAGTGAAATCTGATTGATATTTTGCAAATGAAATATTTAATGTATGGTTCTCAGATTTTAGTAAGATGTTATGTAATTTTATAACTAAATATATTCAGTTGTCCTCACTTATGTTCTCGTTCACTACATTATCAAGTTTTCAAATGATCTGTGTTCCATCGATACTCCAAACTCTATAGGCTTATCGATAGGACTTCAGCATTGATGTGACACATTCTAGTCCAGAAGTATTTTCATACCATTACATTTACTATAAACTTTAATTAAATAAACATTTTCCGCAACAATAAAAACGGAATAGTAGACTACACTCACTGTCTTACATGTAGAAACTAAACGAAAGGATAATTTCATATTCAACGCCAATTTTTACGCTGTCAGTCATTGGTGTTGTTAAAGTGTACCAAACATTTATTTGTATATATATATGATATAAAAAATCATTTCAGTGATCAAATTTTTAATTGTCTGACAAGTCATAATGATTGGTTTTTCTGCCACAAATGCTCTGGTATGTCCGAGAGTGGGGTGGGCCTTCCCTCTCTCTCGAAATGCTCTCACATGGCCACGCGTATACAGCCTCTGGCAGGGAAGTCCTACTCACTGCCTTGTTTACGGAAATTAGAGGACGAAAAGAAGATGTCCGGCGCTTTAACCGGACCCCAAACCATTGGTGCACATGGGCTCCAGTATTCTGCGGGAACATTTGGAGTATGAACCAATTGTTGGTCACCGGCTCCCATAGGACTGCATCTCCTTACGATGCTCCACTGCCTTGTGGATCAGACATTTAGGTCGAAGGCTCGGGGTGTAGATCCCTAAGAAAACCACCTGCTTCGGTCTGGGCACCCAGGCAGTATCACAGCCCACACACAAATATAATGAAATGTTGTAGCGCGTATATATTTGGTGTCCTCTTGTACCAATATTTATGTGTTCAAATAAAACAAAATAAATAAATTGATTTTTCTACCTTTAAACCTACTTATAAATCAGTATGGTTAGATCTGATTGTCCATTTTTAACATAACCTTCAATATTACCAACAATTTCTTATAAATTAATCTCTTTAACAATAGAGCTAAGAATGAGTTAATGATTTCTTGAATAATATACTTAAAGACGGTAATACATGCTATTTTTCATCTATGATCACACATTTACTTTCAATTCTTCATAATAATAAAAATCATACTTCTTTACTGTCGCGTGTGTTTTACAAATTTCTTATAATAAATCAAGACAATTAGAAATAATGCTTTCTAGTTATTAATTTTAAAAAAAATTGTATAATAATCATTTAGTTCAGCAATCATTTGGATAACAGTGATGATCTTTGTATCATAATGATTATTACCGTTTAATTATTCCGAATGAGATAGAGTTTCACTAAATAGTTTTTTCTGTATATAATGTCACATGATTGCATTTTTACTGTTCCAATACTTTTTAATAGAATTAATTTATGAAACACTTTTTGATCACTTCCAAATGAATGTAACCCCTAGAATTTATTCATTTACTTCACAAGTGAACTTCTCTGTCTTCTATTATCACAATTATCATAAACTCATAGTCGTAGATAGTTAATTGTGCGAACAAACGTTATATAAGGTTATGATAAATTCTGTTGATAAGCTTTTATGAAATGATCCATTCACAAAATTGGTGAAACTATCTTAACCAACATATATGAATATAGTTACTGTCAAAGTATGAAGTTTTGTGGATGTTAGCTAAAATTGAGAGTATTCTTTGTTTTGGGTTTATTTTAGCTGGTGAATCAATAAAAATGATTTCAAAGTGTATCTATAGTTCTTACGAACACTCGTTGTTGAAGAGTTCCAAAACTGGAACAAAACAACTATTTACTCCAAATCTTTTATTAGGCTTGTTAAATAGGACATATCAATATCGAATTACTGATTTATATATATATATACATATATATATATATATATATCTGCGGTGTCATAAGTTAGAACATGATACATTTAATTATTAATAAAATGCATTACCACTGCTTTGTCGAGTAATTTTTTTCAATCGTGGCACTGCTTTTGAGCTCTAAAACATACAAAATGATTAGCTGCTTTTCCCTAGAGCATGTAATTCACATTATAAAAACGAAATATAAAGATTTGCTTAAGATGAGGTTTTAAAACCCATAATTAGTTCAACTTAATGACTTACTCTATGTTATTTCCAATAAACTTGACTTATCAAAAAGTGATGTTTGCTTACTTTGCGCTCGCTCAGTTTACAGTTTATTATGATGACAAAAATTTCTAAAGATAGTTTCTTCCAATATTGTATGATCTTTTACTTGAACAATACTCCCAATCAATAATTAAATTCCTTTTTATATGAATAATGAATTACTTTCAATAACTTATTTAGCACAGACAGAAACATTGAAGTTGAATTGTAAACCACTAATCTTCAATTACAGTAATTACCTTGCACCTTAAAAATCCTGTACTCATACATATACAACGCTGAAGTTTCATACTACTCCAGAGTTCTCAATCAAAACGAAACAGATCTCTAATGTTCACTGGCTATCAAAGATTCATTGTAGATTATTATAACATATAACCAACCCTATCATCAAGTAAACTCATCTTTATAAAACAATAGTTCAAACTGTATTTTATTTTATGCTTGATTTTTATTTGAAACCAACTGACATCATAAAACCAGTACTTTTTTTAGCTCAAACTGTTCCATTTTCACAAACATTCCAACAATCACTTAAATAAATATAAAATCATTGAATAAACGTCTCCGATAAAAAAATGAAGCGGAAATTTTGCAATATATAAACAGTTGTACTAGTAAATTACCTGTTTTGAGCAACATGTAACATGTGAAATGCTCATTCACAATTTTATTGTAACTATTGTTTAAATTCAGTACGTTTATAATATAGCCAATGAGTATTCTCATCTCACTAATGATATATTTTTCATCCTAGACTTCACTTATCTTCACTATTCATGAAAACTCACCAGAATCGTTAGAATCTATCATCAAGCAGAAAACATTTAATCACTACTAATCTAGTATTTCTCTATTACTTAAAGATTTATCAGCATTCAGTACCAAAAATCTGACATAAAAATTGAATAAAAATAATTTAAGTGTCATGGAGATGATTATAATTTCATTTATTAACTCTAACCAATAAGTCTATTTAATAAAATGTGGTAAATCAAAAAGAAAACTATGGGAAAAGAAAATACATTTTACTATTTAAAAACAAAACCAAAAAAAACGGATCCTTTTTCAACTCCAAAATCGATCAAACTTATTGACAAATAGATTTCTATTAGATGAAACGTAATTAAAATGAATGACTTGAATAATTGACTAATCTATATAATTACCCAATACAATAGTAATAAAGTGTTTAAATTACTAAACATCATTCATTGAATTGGCTACATAGTTGAGATGTTTCAAACTGTAGAAATAAATAAATAGCTAATATTAGAAAACCAAAAAAAAACAATTAGGTTACGTAATAATGTTGGTAAGAAACAGTGATAAATATATGTAGCTATGAAATAATGGTGAAAAATACAACAACAAAAAACAAACTGATTATTCAGCTAGGAATGTATTACAAGATTAGTTGTGTAAAATTAAACCATAACATACTGAAGCTTATTCAGAAGAGTTTAAAAAGACAAAAATTGAATAAAGAATCATGTTTAGTGAATATATATTCTGTTCAGTTTAGTTAATAGTTCAATCATCAGAGATTATTTCAGTTGTCTTGCTACAAACATATAAATAGGACCAATGTCATTGATTCGAGGACCTCTCATATAATCCGTCTGTAATAATATCAACGATTTATGCCAGGTTTTATTACTATTATTATTGTTATATTCACCATCTGGATTATAGGCACTATTCAACTTTTGTAATAATTCCATTGAAATATCAGAATACCTAGATGGTGAATTTGAAGTGATAGCTTGTTTTTGAATCAATTCATTAGAATGTTCTTCATAAATATTTGTAGTGACACCAGTAAATTTAGTTCTAGATAATGATTTATTCATTGGTAATAATGATTGTCTTTTAATATTACTCATATATTTTTCATTATTATAATGAATATTACTTTCATATATAGAAGGATTGATATTACTAGTAGTATTCATAGTTCTATCATAAATTAAACAACATTGTAATCCAATAGATACTTTTGGACATTTTAATTCATCTCTTAATAAAAATTCTTTATCATTTAATGCTTTCTGTAATAAGATATAAAGCATTTTAACATCTTGTGATAATTTACATTTATAGACTTCATAAATTTTACATTTAGCTTTATCATATTCTATACATAATATAAATGTATATGGTTTACTTTCAGAGATATATATACATTTAATATGTTTATATAATATAAATTTTCTTGGTGGATTTGAACCGCATTGTTTTGATTTTTCAAAACGTATTTGATCTTGTAAACAATATAAATTACAATGAGCTAAACGTTTATTTAAATTATTTTCAATTAAATATTCTGCTTTATCTTTAGTCAATTCATCATTTATATTCATTTGTTTACTTTTTAATATACATATATGACAAATATAATAAACTGATTGTTTTGTTTTTTTATCCAATTTTAATTGATTTAATGAATAGGTACTTAATTCATCATAGTTACAAATATGTGGTAAACTAAGACTTTTACTACGATTATCTGACATATTATTATGGAATAGTTTAATGATGATATAATATCCAATGAATATAGAATTGTTATTGTTGTTTTTAAATGTACAATTTGAACAATTCAAAATTTGGTTTGATCCTATCTATCTATCTATATATAAAATTAAAATTACATAATGAATTGAAATTATATACGTTGGTATATGTGTTTAGTGTTCATTTGTATATTCATATGATTTTAATAATGGGACAATACAATTGTAATATAATGTCCAACAAATTAGTTTTCTTAAATCTAATCTGATTGGGTTCTTATTCTGTTCGATACATTTCAATTGTGCATATATATTTCAATGTAAAGTATGAAATTAAATGATCAATTATTCTATTGTTCAATTTTGATTAAAGTGTTCAATGTAAAATTGAAAATGTAACACATACAAAAAAGATCTTTTCACAAAAAAACACCAACAAAAAAAAAGGAACAACATCTTTTGTAATCATTATGCAATGGTACTAAAATGAGTTCATTGCAATGAAATTTGATACATTTATTTGAAAACATAAATTTTATTGTATTTAGAACATTCTATGTTTTTCTTAACACCTTTTTTTTCATTTTTGTTGGTTGTATCTTTTTTTTTAATTAAATATATTATAATCAATAAATAATGGTGATTATGGGTATGGTGAAGCATGATATACAAAAAATCAACAGAAACTTTGAAGATGATATACTTATTGCATAAATACAATTTTTTATATTAGAAAGGTTTTTGTGGATATTATAGTAATTTCAATGGTTGAAATCACGAGATGGTATCATGGATGCTCACTGCTGAAGAGTCCTACAATAAGACGGAATGGTTATCCAGTGCTTCCAGGTTTTCCATGGCGGTCTAGCTTCAATCGACTCATAATCTCAATCATTGAAAATTATAATTTTATTTCGATAACAATATATATCAAGTTCATATATATATATAGTTATATGGAAAATGTATGTGTATAGAAGGATAGATAAGATTGTGTCGTAAAGAGATTCGAGACTAAATATCAAATAAAGTTGCGTACTAATCAAGGGGTAAGTAAGAAAATACTTTATGAGTCAGATAATAGTCTAATTGAAAGATATGATGATGATGCATATCATGCGATCTTTTCTATCCTTCTATAGACATGTAATTTCCATATAACTATATATACGAATGTACAGCTTAAATAAATGAGTTCGTCAAAAAGGAAATTTTTTTCGCTGAATTCTTTTTTTCATATTCACTGACACTCTGGGTTATTTTAAATATCAAGTTGTCTTATTCACCTAGCTATTTGATGTAATCAAAATTTAGAACATCATATATAAGCAAACAATATTGACACATAAACTACCTTGATTAGTTTAATGACTTTGTATATGCATATAAATGTTACTGTGTATTATAGTGAAGCCTGATGAGGATCTAATCGAAAACAATATGTTCGCTTATTCTAAATCGTAATTACAATTATATCACTTAACAGTTAGTAAAGTGTTTTCTGTATATACCATATTAATTATTATCTCATTTTCTAGATATTTAAAGAATATGTTAATGAATATATTAAGTTTAAACAAAACGTTTAACTCTGAAACAAGTGATATAATTAAATTATAACTTCATGTCTGGAAACATATTAAATGTCATTGAAAAGATGAAAAAGTATAGAATTTCACGTTATTGATCCCTCCATAATGGTTAGTGAGTAAATATGATATAAAATAAAGGTTTTTTTAAAAAATAAAGCTAAATAATAGGAATGAATTCGTATCTGAAGGGATTTTGTGGATATTATACTAGTTTTAATAGTTGAGATCGTGAGTCAATTGAGGCTAGACCACCGTAGAAAACTCGAAAGCACTGAACGACCGTTTTGTCCTATTGTTAGACTCCTCAGCATCAACGACCCCGCCACGCGAGACTCGAACCCAGAACCTATCAGTCTCGCGCACGAACGCTTAACTACTGAGACGGCATCAAACGGTGTAAATATCTATCTATCTCACAACAGACCTGGTTGAACTCCACTGGGGATCGTGAATGCCCACCGCTTAGGAGTCCCACAATAGGACGAAATGGGCGTCCAATGCTTTCAGGTTTTTGATGATGGTCTAACTTCAGCTGACTCATGATCTCAACTATTAAAATTCATATCTGTTTAAAGAATGCTATCTCAATTAAAATAGTTTGTAAACTTTCCCAAAAATTACACAGTATTAGTTGTATATTAAAAAAAGCGTATAATTATACTGTACATTATTAGGTAGCACTTTATTATAAGAAAATATTATGAATAACAATTAGAACCATATTTATCAATCAAAAGCTAAGTATGAAAATATCCGAATATTTCGAAATTCTGCTGTAAAAACAAGTTGAAACTGGTTTCCTACAAAAAAGTTGAGTTTCATTAACTAATGGAAATAGATCATATAAACACAAAGAGTTTTCCTTATTTATAAACATGTTTTTAAATACATCCAAATATGGGATGGAGAGAGAGCGTATAAGAATTGAAGATTCATCAATTTAATATTTATATAACATTGAAATGAGACTAAAAGCTTAGATATGAGTATCATGATAGTGTCACTAAACTCCATGACAGGTAATTATGAATATGATAAGTTTACTTCTGATTCTGCCCCTACTCATGTTTTCAATTTTATTTGTTATTTGATAAAAGTATTTTTCCGATGAGATTACCTTACATAGTCTTATGTTCAACTTGTTTAGAAAACTCTCGTACACTTAATGGCCCTAAATCTGACTTCAATTTAGTCGTATGGTGCTTGTTATTAAAATATACATGTCCCAAATCCTCGTATATAATCATTAACTTAAATCGCGTTGGTGAATAACGGAATTAAATAAGACAAATATGAGAATGAAGTTTTGATTATGTATATATTGCACAATCGTTGATCGTAAAGTGAAGTAAAACAAAATGACGCGCAATGGAGATGGAGAGTGAACCAACTCAATTTAACCAAGCGTTAATCGATATTTATAGTCAGACAAAGGTAAGTTACAGACATGTGATGAGTAAGATAAGAAATGCACACACAAATACACTTGCATAAAAATAGTCAAGGTTGATAAGCCATTAATTGACGGAATAAAAATGTAGCTTGAGGATAATGGATAAGTTGGTTTGTCCAGAAGTTATAATAAGCTATGTGGCTCGACATAACACCGGCCACTACATACATAAAATTTCATTTATAAGGAAATTATATAAATCGTTATTCTGGTCCATGGTTTATAGTGACAACCTTCATTTCGACAGTTGATTAGTGGTCTGTGTCTAAAATTTCTTGACGAAACATGTTGATGGAGACATCCATGGAGAAAGTAGAGCTGCTCTAGAGCTGAACGCGTCTGTTGGTTAAACTCCTATTTTCAAACAACAGGAAGCGTATCACAATCATACGATTTTGAGATGTTAGTTTTGTTCTTTGAAGTGGATGGTAAGTCTTATCATATGGTTCACTAACACTAGAAAGTTCAAACATATGTGATTAATTTTCCATAAAATTGCCACGTATTTACCATAAAGTTTACTGAGCAGGATTGTTGATGAAAAAGATTCAATTGTTTCTTAAGTCAATTCAACAACTATCTAGATAGCGTATTATGTAGAGTTCTAATAATTACGAATGATCACACAATACCACAAAATCCGCACAAATCGAAATATTTATTTGGTAGGTGGATTGAATAAATTATTATCAGAATGGGGTTTTTGTTGAGATTGTGGTAATTTAATAGTTAAGTTCATAAGTCAATTAAAGCTAGACCACTATGGAAAACTTGGGAGCACTCAACGGCCATTTCTTCTTAGAAAATACTGTGGTACTTTGAAACGCTAAGTATTTCTATCGCGGTGGATTTTAGCAACATTTAGGTATCAACATTTCTCCAGTAATATAGTGGATATGGAATGATATTCTTAATACTAAACATAAAGTGAAGGTTGCTATTTCACAACCGACGAATAAATCATCAAATTTTGCATATAATCCCTGATAAAATAAAATTCTTACAACTGGACTGCCATAGTTGCTTGAAACAAATTTAAATTGAATAATGATATTCATGTAATGTCTCAATGAGTAGAAAGTTTAAATAGTATCGCAAATATTATCATTACTGTATCATCAACCATCTAACTAATACTCAATTAATTGAAAATTATGATGTCAAACATTGGTAGAAATACCTAATTTGAATAGTTATAAGTTCTGTGTAAGTTTACCTCTAAACCATGAAATGATTCCTGGTTGTAACTTTTTCGTAGATAATAATGAAACCCGTCTTCAATGATACCAATTACTTTAGGTTAGCTACCGATTAAGAGACATTTCAAAATTTAAATACAGTTATGAAGTATAGTTCAAGTTCAGTAAGTATGTACGGTTGCAAAATCAAGTGAGTAAATAAACATTAGAACCAAATTCTGTAAAATAAATTATGTTAATTTAAGGGTGTTTTTACTTATCGGTGATTCTGTTAGTCTGTAGTCAAATTTTAGTCGATATTTGAATTAGAATAGAGCTTAAATGTTGCGATATTATTATTATTATCATGAATAATAATAATAGCTCAAGTCTAGATGACTATCCAAACAAGTAGGAAAATCAACTAACCTAGCAATGACAGAAAGCGAAAATCGCTTGAATTTAAAATACCACTTAATTGAAAGTGAACCGTTCAAGACAGTAACAGCAAACGCGATAAACCCATCAATAAACATAGTTCAAATGATGTGCAGTCGGGAATCATGTAGATGTTTGTAGCATAAACATAGTTGTATTTGTTCAAGTTTTTTGAACTGGACCTTAAATTAAAACAGTTTATAAAGTCGTTAGAAAGCTTGGACTGTCAAAAATTAGATTGATATCAATTCACATTAACAAATGAAGCTACACCGCCACCATACTTTTTCTTATTGCTTGATGGATCCTGACGATAAATATCGAAACTATGTAGTGGTA